TAACCCTGCTATGGACTAGCATTCCATCCAGGGGAAGTAAAAATACCCCTAGTTACTTCATGCTATGGAAACTGCAGGGCTCAGCACTAACTTTTCAACTTACTAGCCAAGTGGCTAGTGACATCTTAGATGTTTTTAGATGTTACAACAATTTCAGTTTGTTTACTAGCCAAACTGGCTAATGGAAATTGAAAACCACAAGCCAAAACTGAATTTTTACTAGTCTGTGGCTAGTGGGCTACCGTTAGTGTCGAGCCCTGAACCAGATTTAGGCACCAACCTGATGGGCCACTTAGCTTGTAAACAACCTTTGCCTACCATAGGACATCCCCCCTAAGTCAAACATTAAGGTTACAAGAATAAAGGAAATAATCAACAACTAAAAGAACTCTTGATTGTTGAACAAAAAAATCTCCTTCCCAGCACCTTAGGAAATGCACGGAGAGCCATACGGAGAATATAGACACTGATGCTAGGTAACGGTATAAGGCAAATAATGAGATGAGCTTCTGCCCTCATTAACATGAGCTGCTGGTGCAAAGGTCACCAATATGTAGTCTTCAAGAATTGCATCTTTGCTCAGTTGTCTGTTAAGTGGGGGAAAGTGAAAATGAAGTAACACTTCTCAAGTGCTGCAGACTTTCTTCTTTGCTCCTTCATCAATTTCCCAACTTCAAATAACTGGGTAAAGATGAACTCTCTAGACTGCCACCATCAGATTCCCTGCAATGAACACAGCACAAGTTGAAGAAAAATGGAACCGTATCTGAAATATTGAACAAAGAAGAACAAAGTTAATGCTGTATTTATTCCATTTCACCCTTTTCTCATTGCATACACAATTAACTTACCATTCAGATAGGTGATGGCTTACCTTGAGTGGAGAGAAATGTAAAAAAAAAAAAAAACAAAACAAAAATTAGAAAAAAGACACTTAACCTTGACACAAATATGTGACCTTTGTTGGACTCCAGCATGAATTAGTATCGGATTTCCCAGACAAATCCTAGAAATAATTAACTACTCTGTAAAAGATTCAAACAGCTGAGAAAAGGAAATAACCAAAGTTGACTATCTAAACACTGCTTGTAAAACAATGGCATTAACACTTAAACTTGCACTGATTACCTTCATAACATCTTTAGAATTATTGAATCAATCCCTATCAGCTGCTGCTTCTTTTCAACATGTGGTGTACAAATATCACTTCAAAATGCATCTTAATAATTTCAATTTGGCACAAATTAAGTACAACTTTATAGGGATGACACATCAATGTCCCAAGAACAAGATGTGAAACTTTTTTCCCTAGAAATCTCAATCAGTATTCAACGAAAAATTGATATAATGCCAGCCATTTTCATTTCATCAACCACATTTATTCAGGAAACCTTGCTACATATAACTGCACACTGAGACCTAAAAAGTGAAATACAAATTGAACAGTTAAAAGCCTTAAAAGTATTCTTGTGATGGGATATATTACTTTTTATTGGCATAAACCATAAACAACAGCAAGCAGTAACAATTATTATCATTCTATACATATACTAATCTAGCCAAAGCAGAAAATATGTCTTCGTGTATTGTAGATCACTTTGTTCAAAGTGAATTACAAATGTTCAGACGAGCCCTCTACTTCAAAAGCCACAAATATTCTATATACTTTGAGAGAGAAATTACACAGATTTGAAATCGCACAAGAGGTAGATCATGATAAAAACACCTAGCTGTATTGTTTACCAAACTGAATTGAGTATTGTTCGCTCGCTCTTCTTGAGCGCATGAGCAAAACAAGGTAATTTTGTTCTTCTCAACAAAAAAAACTGTAACATTTTCTCGCGAGCAAGAATAAAACTTCGCCTAAAAACGACGTTTTAACGCTTAAAGAAAAAAAAAAACTACGATGCTGAAGACTTCGGTAGTGTGTTAAATAAATTAAAGGCAAACAAAATGAGGAGAAGGTTGTAGTTTAAAATCTGTTTCAGTCGGCGGCGAGGACATTACTTAAATGCATATCACGCGCCGCGCTCAGATCTTGCGTTCTTTCGACGTTAAATCCTACAAGATTCAGCGTTTGTTTGGACATGGAAATTAGTCATCGATCCTTTCTGGAGTATAGAGTTTGAGTTCAATACTCGTACATCTCATAGACGTTGCCTTTAGCTTTCGAATGGTGACATGCACCGTGTGAATGATCTGGTTTCTTCGCAGGAGTGAAAGGTACTCCACCCGTTGTTGTCGCAGTGGCTGCCGTGGCTTGTGCGGTGGCAGCTTTCTGTTTCAACATAGTCCAGTCGAAAATGTAGTCGTACTGGTAGTTCAAAGTCCGAAATAAAATCCTGAACAACTGACGGAGGTACATGTAATCTGGATTCTCTTCAAAGCGAAGTCCGCGGCAGTAGTTGAGGTACATCGCAAACTCGGCTGGGAAACCTTTGCAAAGGACTTCGACTGGGGTAGACATTTTTTTCTCGCTAATTTTCTCATATTTCTGCTTCTTGGTGGCCGCCTTTAAACCTTGCCATGGCAGACTGCTTCGATTGAAGTACATCAGTACATAACCAAGTGATTCCATGTCGTCCCTCCTCGACTGTTCTATGCCGAGATGGGCATTGATGCTGGCGTAACGTGCTGTTCCAGTAAGGTTTTTGTCCTCGCGATAAGGTATGTGCTGTTTGCTTCGAGTGTCGCGGTACTTCTTCGCTAAACCAAAATCAATCAAGTATAATTTGTTGCAGTGCCTGCCGACACCCATCAAAAAATTATCGGGCTTAATATCACGGTGAATGAAGTTCTTGTTGTGTACATATTCCACTCGACTAATCATTTGGTCTGCTAACATCAGAACTGTTTTCATTGTGAAGCGACGCGAACAGAAATTGAAGAGGTCGTCCAAACTCGGGCCAAGCAGATCCATTACCAATACATTATAGTCTTTTTCTTGGCCAAACCAACGAACGATAGGGATTCCTACACCGCCTTGGAGGATTTTGTACAGCTTTGACTCGTAAAGAAGCTGTGGATGACGGGCTTTTTGGGACTCGAGCTTCACTGCAACTTCCTCCGAATTGCTCGACACCGCCAAGTAAATATCGCCGAAAGAACCGCTTCCAATCTTGCGAATAAGGCGGTATTTACCACCAACTATGAATTCAGACCTGGCACTACTACTACTCCCGCTAGCCATGGTGAAAAAAATCCTTTCCTTGACCAAAAGTTGTGAGTAAATCTTGTACAATTAACCAAACATCCACCCAACACACGCCATTCTCGAACACTAACAACTCAAAACAGTGAATGTGACGTGGGTAGCCAAGGCTAACGCAAGGGATTGTGGGTGACGCACACTTTACTTCCGGTCTAATTTGCGAAAACTAAGGCGATTCTACAAAGAGTAACTCTTTCGCTCGGTTACCTGTAACTTTTTACTAAAATTAAGCCGTAAAGAAAATCGGACTTTCTTTTAAAAAGCCCTCTGCCAAAGTTTCTTTTGTCCAAAATTGCCTTACACGTAGGCACTAAGCCAAAAATACTTCACTTGGCCCGTCTGCTACGGGCTGGATTGTGGTTCGATCAAATGCGACCGGAAATACACGTCGTTTTATCATCTCGTTTTATTTCGCGCTCTTCGACAATTGATATTTTTGTTTAAAACAATTACCTAATGTCTGAGTACAGTTTTGGGAAAATCCAACATGATGCTAAAAACGCGATGATTTTCCAATTTTTTTTAATTTGTGGAATTCCCACATCGGTACTTAACAATTACCGTAGGCGGGTGTCGGACGGAAAACGATAGAAACGTGACTAAGCACACATCTGTATTGCTACAGAAGGAAAGGACTTTTATCAGCTCGTTTCCAACCAAATTCCTGAATGTGGGATTGATATTTGATTATAAATCATCTAATTACGTATTTAACGCGTTAAGATCCGCGAGCTGACGTTAAAGAGACGAATCAATTGAATCTTAATAATAACTCATTCAACAGAACACACGCAATTCTTACGTGACTTTGCGTGGGTCAGGGCCATATGTTATTTAAAATATAAAAGATGTTAAACCCATTAAGCTCCTATTTTTTTTTTTTTCTAATTAATTTTCTCCCGCAAAATTGGAATTCATTTTGGTAGGACATTACATTCTCATCTTGAAGACTGTACAAATTCTGTATCTGTCATTATCTCGGTCAGAATTTGACAAAAAATCCCAACAGAGGGTAAAACCTTGATCAAAAATTTCTTTGTAGGGTTGAATCATTTTTTTTTTGGTCAGTCTCTTTACATAGGACCTTGATTATGCCCAGAATACAAATGGCAATAATGAGGACAAGAATAATGGAAAAGATAAAGAAAATATAAATGGGGTAAAGATAGTCAACATTTTATCATTTCCATATTATATAGGACTTTTTTCTCCTTCATATGCATCATCACAGGTGAGAGTATACCCTTATTCTTGACTGTAACATTTTTTAAAGAAAAGTTGTTAAGTCAAAAAACCACATCTAAGGAAATGGCTTACAAAGATAAACTGGCTTCTCATTTTGTCAACTGCTCCTAAGGGGTCCTGTGGATTCCCAAAAAAGCCACAGCACATGAGTGGCAAAAAAAACCAAAAAAAAAAAAACGAAAACTCCAAGAAAAGTATCTTTAATGGGGCACAATAATTGGGATTTAGAAAGGAGATCATGGTCTCCATCTTCCCCACCCCTCCCCCCCAATTTCCCCCTGGTTCTGCCATGGGAACTAAAAGACACCCTCTAGAAGAATGACTGCTGACTGATTTTTAGTTCTTTCACAATTGCATGAGTTGAGGGGGAGAATGCATTAAGCTTTTACTGACTGCTGATGCAATGTCTATTTCTCCCTGTGTTTCAAGTGGGAGAATCTAGCAGGTCTAACAGGAGTCTCTGAGGACCTTCTCCATGCATGCCTTCAATCACGCAGCTGTTACATCTACACTTATTGCCAACACAGGAAAGAAAACTTGCACATCAATAATAACTATTAGATATAATATACTATAATATTTAGAACTTTGAAGGTTACATAATATAAATCTCTGTCGACAGCTCAAAAATACTGGCAGGCTGCTATATGTTTGATAAGAGCTAGTCCCAATTTAAATACTTAACAGATTATATAATTCTTTGTATGAGAAAAACAAATCATCATTTTAGCAATAAGCTAAGAAATATAGTCTGAAATATTCAGTTCAAAGATCAATTCTTGTACATAATTTTAAAATCATATAAAGATTTGTTGTGCAAAATTCATGAAAAATGAATCAGTAGTACTTTGTTAAAAAAGTGGGGGTAGTGCACCTTGTGTTAAGTGAAGTCTGACCCCTTTATGACAAGGATCACTGTGAGGAAATGATCCTGATCAAAGTAACTTCTCCCTACGACAAGTAATGAGAATACTTCAACTTATCATGAAGAAGTTGTTATCTAGATCTAACACCAAATTCTCCTTTCTAATTTAGAACGAAATGTGTAGCAGCGAGAGGGGAGAATTAACAACCAGATCATAAGAGTGGAAGGGTTGATTGTCAACTGGGTACTACTCTGAGACTTGCCGAGTTGCATCTAAAGTAGTCATTAATCTCCACCATTATTGAATTTGCATCCATTCAAACTGCTGCACTTGGATTGATTATTTTGGGCTAACTACTGTTTATAAGTTTTTTTGATCTGTCTCACTCTCCCTTTATTTCCATGTTGGCCCACTATTATCTATGTGTGACACGAAATATCACAGTTCACAGCTTGTCAAGTCCACAAAAGGTTTTTCATCAGATTTAATATGACAAGCACCATTGCAAAATTTGAAAAAGCTGGATATAATGACCCATTTGCAAATATTTCTTCATCGAACTCAAAGCAGTCTTTGTCTCCCACTTGGAAAAATTGTGCTTCACAAAAATCTTTTCCACTGGAATACATAGACCCAATGGAAGTTCCATCATATTTTGCATCCTTGCAATGGGTTAGGATATCATCACAGAAACTTTTACAGATGTGAACTTTGCCCTCTTTCAACCATTTGTACTGATCTGGGCTGCAGAAGTAACACATCATGTAATTCATGCGGTTCCGGCAGTCGTCGCTGGAAGTTGCCAAGTGAGGCATTCCTAAAAATGACGACGTCACTTCTGTTCTTGTGCAGCAGGAACTCTCCCTATACCAGGTACAATTGGAGAGGCTGTATGCTTCTTTTGGTTTCCTTTCACTACCTAGAAGGTGGAAATAGGGGTTAAATTTTAACAAAGCTTGTATGTAATGTGTTGATTTTTGTTTGTTGCACACACTGAGAGCTGATATCTTCCTTTGAAACAACTAGACAAAGGGTTTGACCAAGGATACCATAATAGTAATAGTAATAGTAATAGTAATAGTAATTTAGTAATAGTAATAGTAATAGTAATTTAGTAATAGTAATAGTAATAGTAATAGTAATAGTAATAGTAATAGTAATCAAAGTTTAATGTCTTTACATGGGGCATGGTTACCCATCATGCCCGAGTGAGAGGCTCATGTATGAAATGCAAGACAACAACCCACCCATCGCACCCCAGGGGAGGACATCCATCACACAGTAATCTCGTGTGTGGGAAATTGACGTCTCCTACCCCTAACCCTGCAGGAGACAGGACCTCCATTTATTTGTCTCTATCCGAGAAGACTAGAATATCTAAACCATTTCTTGATGTTATAGAAAGGCAGCATATTCTTCTCAATTATTTTAAGACCTTGAGTGTTGGTCTGGCCGAGGCTCGAACCCTTGACCTCCCGCACATTAGTCCAGGGCTCTATCCAGTGAGCTAACCGGCAGGTTGAGGAAAGACTAGAATCTAATTTCTCCTGACAGTATCACAGCTGAATCAAACATGAATCTGTCAATGAATTTGAAGCTTCAACATGCCCCTTTGGTAACCTCCCAGGTATTTGAACGTTTGAAGACTGGATTTTAAAAAAGCGATGATGACAAACGCAAGGGGAAACACAATATGCACCCCATGGAACGTCACATCCCATGACGCAAGTTATTAGGAAATACGTATGCCCTTTGCACCTTGGCCGCATTGTACAATCGGCCATGACCGTCAGTTGCTTTCTCAAAATAAAGATACGTACTGGGCACGAGCTGGAGTAAAAATCATGATACCATTCAGTGCAACGTCAAAAGATTAAAAATCTAGGAAAATAAATTGATTAATCAAATTGGCCGCTTTACAATGAGGATCTCTAAGGTGATTTACCTCGAGCGATTTTGAAAAGTAGCTCGGTTGAATACGAAAGGAACACTTGTAGAAGAAGGTGAAAGTTTCATACCATAATAAGAGCATATCTGGCGCTGTGCAAAGCATTCAGCAAGGAGAAAACCCACTAAGAATCCTGTGATCAACAAAAACAGCTGCAGTGATTTCGCCATGTTGTGTTTAGAAACCTTCGTCACATTCCCGTCGAAAATCGGAAATATCCGTAGAAATCCGAATACTCTGCAACCAATCACAATGCAGTGAAATAAAACGCCAAAAATCAAGGTTAGAGCCGAGTCTGGTTAAAATATGGCGACTCTTAAGAAAAAAGGAAAGTCGAAGTGGAAAGATTTTAATGTGCAATTCGTAATCGAATGGATAAAAATACTGTTGTTTGACCCAAGTAAGACCTGGGTGGTGGGTCTTGGTCTTTTGTTGGGAGAAATTGTGGTAAATGTGATAGTCATCTGGAAAATCAAATGTGAGTATATTAATTAATATTTACTCCGATCCTGCGATCAGCTGATGTGATTCTTGTATTTTTAGGATTTGATTATGTACGATTAAAATTATTTTCAGAAATGAATTAATAGAAAAAATGATTTTTCTTGTTTATGAAAATTTTGTCGCCTTCAATCTGTTCCTATTTCATCTGCACGGAATATAAATGTACTAAAGTGGCAGTCGCGTGATTTCTGTAATGAAAAGTCAGTTAAGTTCAGATTTAGCCTCCTAGGAGCTCATTCGATAAGGGTATTTCTTTTTTTATTATTTTTTGCTTCAAGTAATTGGAAAACAGATATATTTTCGAAATCTGGAAAGCCAGTGACTTATTGGATGCATTTGAAACATGCTTATTTTACCAGACCCATGTAGGAAGAACATTAATTTTATGGTTCTTACTTAATTAAGATAATTTAAATTCAGATCTCAAGTAAATGCATATTACAGAGCGACTGTTGGGGAAAAAGCTGTTAATTCTTCTCTTCCTTTTTTTCAATCTCTTCTGCCTTTGATCCTCGGCACTTACTGGCACAATAGTCCATTTTACAGTGGCATGCTTGGTTGCCAAGACTTTAAAGTGTGACCATGTTATGATACAAACATTGCTATTTTTCAATATCATGCTAACTAGATACTTGTCTCTATCAAAACAAGGTCACCTTCGGCCTCACTCCAAATCAAAGGCGTGGTAACTAAGTACAGAATTGTACTGTAAAATGGCCAATTAAGTTTGACTGGAACCACTGCCACTTTCCTATGCCGTGATTGGTTAATTCTAGACAAGTTACCACAGTAGCATTATCAAAACTGTACTGTATTCATTGAGAAAACTGAACATTTTATTATCTAAATGTCCTTGGATTTGTAGACACAGAAATAGATTGGGAGGCATACATGGAAGAGGTTGAGGGTGTAATCAATGGAACATATGACTACCAATACCTGAAAGGAGGAACAGGTCCTTTGGTGTAAGAGTGATTTTCTCCTTTTTCTCTCAAAAAAAGAAAAAGAAATGAATAAATTAACCATCAAGAATAATTGGACGCCCATGTAATTCAGTGCTTTCAACAAGACCTGGCACCTACCAGAGCTCTGGCAGGTATTCTGTTGTGGGTCGTCTGGTATATTTCACTGTGCTCAAGTCGCGGTCACCACACTCAAGTGGCACTCAAGTCATTCTCTGGTGGGTGCTGTACTAAGGTAACCACCTTTTTCAAATCTTATTGAAAGCACTGGTAATTTGGTATATTATAAAGAGTGTTCTCTTTGGACAAGTCCAGAGCCACAGTTTTAACCTTTTAACCTGAAAATCAATACAGTACACATATTCCTCTCACTGTTCTTTAGACAATTCACATGGTACTGACAAAGAGGATTTGTTTAACTTTTTAACATCCAAGATCTGGTTTTTAATTCTGCTCTCTAACTTCTACATATTTCCTTGTATACTGGTTATGAGAGTTTGGTGTTCAATCAAGGTAACAACTACCTGATAAGTTTGAGTATTCTCACTACCTGTTTGCTGGATAATGTATGGATATTAAAGGGAGAAGTTAGATGTTAATCACTTGTGGGAGTTAAAGGGACAAACAATCAAAATTCTCTCTTGTTCAGACTCATTTTCTTTATTCTCAAGACCTTAATGTTTGAAATATTCAGGGGGAATCCTCTGAGGAGAAATAACATGCCATTTACTATTATATTGGGAGTAATAGGTTTAATGTGGGAGCACAGTTTTTATTAAACAACAAACATGTTAGAAAAACACATACATGCCCTGTACTCTGTGCTCTCCTTTTCAGGCGGCAACCAGTACAATTTTATTACTGATTAAAATTGCTTTGAAGTCTTGAAAATTCAACTAGTGAAAAGATTGGTTTACGGGTTTGAAAATTTATTTTACCTCTTGAGCTTAAAGGAAGAATAATGTCTACTGTTTTTGATATGTGAGTGAAAATTTAAGTTGGATATCTGTTCAGCAAACCTTTTTTCTTTCTCCTGTTTTATTATAGTTACCCTGCAGGATTTGTTTACCTCTTTGCTGGATTATATTATCTGACTGGTCATGGAACAGACATTCAGACTGCGCAGTATATTTTTGCTGTTTTATACATACTCACCTTAGTGAGTGTATTTGCAATTTACCAAAAAACCTCTTCTGTAAGTATCCTCCTTATGTTTTGTGGTGTTAGTCTGTGTGTCAATTCTCCCCTCAAGCTGCTACACATTTTCTAGTAAATTAGTTACAAGAATTTGGTGTTAGATCAAAATATCAACTTTTAGCTGATGAGTTTGAGTATTCTCATTGCCTGTTTGCTGTATAATGTATGGATATCATTGGGAAAAGTTACATGTTTATCACTTTCCAATTATGATTATTTCTCAATGATTTCCTCCTAGGTTCCACCATTTGCCTTCTTCTTCATGTGTTGCACATCTTACAGAATCCACTCAATTTACATTCTTCGTCTCTTCAATGACCCTGTGGCAATGTTCTTCCTGTATATTGCAGTCAACTGCTTTTTGCGTGATAGATGGAATTTAGGATGCATTATGTTCAGGTAATACTGCTTGGAAAGGACATATGTTGTAAATGTTGTTACTTTTTGGGAATTGTAGTAAAAATTGCTTTGAGTTTTCTCACTCCCTGTTGGTTTGAATGTATTTTTCACAGCCTGGCTGTGAGTGTCAAGATGAATATTCTTCTCTTTGCTCCTGGTCTGTTGCTGCTCTTGTTACAAACCTTTGGAGTGTGGTGGACAGTGCCAAGATTAGCTCTGTGTGCTTTGATTCAAGTAAGAATTTTTTTGTTGTTATCAGCTCACAACCAAGATGTTTTTTAACAATTATTAGTGCTTTTGAAAGTTAAAGAACATTGTCATGGGCAACCTCTCTCATTTCCAATCATCATGTAATATCATTTATAAAGTGTGGATTCTTTTTTCCAGCTGGTTCTAGGCCTGCCTTTTCTTTTGGATAATCCCATCAGTTACATCACAATGGCATTCAACTTGGGCCGGCAGTTTCTTTTCAAGTGGACTGTGAACTGGAGATTTTTACCAGAATGGTTTTTCCTAAATCGTTATTTTCATGTTGGTCTTCTGATGTGCCACGTTACACTTTTGATTTTATTTTACCTGTTTAAGTGGACAAGGTATTGTATTTTTATACTTCTCATTTTATTCAACAAGCATCCTAGAAATCATTTGGTAAAGGTAAAGTCTGTTTACAAGCCTAGTGGTCCATCAGGCTGGTGCTTTACTCCGGTTTCTGTAGCATGAAGCGACTAGGAGTATTTCTACTCCCCCCTGGATGGGATGCCAGTCCATCGCAGGGTTACCCCCAGCATTAAATTGCCAGTACCCATTTATACATCTGGGTGAAGAGAGGCACTGTGAGAGTAAAGTGTCTTGCCTAAGAACACAACACAATGTCCCGGCCGGGGCACGAACCTGGACCACTCGATCTGGAGTCGAGCGCACTAACCATGAGGCCACCGCGCCTCCACTAGAAGCCATTTAAGACTGCCTAATTGTTTTTGTATTTGCTGATCAATGCACTTATTTTCTTTTGTCAGAGTGCTTTGAAATGTTTTGAAATGTCACTCAATTCTCCTTTCCCCCCAACCCCCATGGGTTGTGTGGCATCCCAAAGAACAGTGTCATTGGAGATTTTGATGGACTAGTATCCCTTTTAACTCTTTACAGCCTTATTTCAGTATGCATATTCTCCATACTGTTTCCATACATTTCCAAGGGTGCTGACAAGGAAATTCAAACTTAAAGGTCACAAGAATAACGGAAATTATCTCCAGCTAAAGAAACTGTTGACAATTAAACAAATTGGTCTCATCAGCACTTTAGAAAGTGTATAGAGAACAGTATGGAGAATATGCAAACCAAGTGCAATAATGAGCAATTAAAAAAAATGACCTTCACTGCGAGGGCTTATCCCTTTGCAACCCAACACTTGATTCATGTTGTAGAGTGCAGGTAGCTGTGCAGTAGGTCTAGGGTTCCAGTCCCAGACTGGACCAACACTCAAGATCTTAATGAGTAAAATGTACTGCCTTTGGTATAAGGGCTCGACACTAATGGTAGCCAACTAGCCACAGACTGGTAGAAATTCAGTTTTGGCGAGTGGTTTTCAATTTCCACCAGCCAGTTTGGCTAGTAAACAAACTGAAATTGTTTTAACATCTAAGTTATCACTAGCCACTTGGCTAGTAAGTTGAAAAGACAGTGTTGAGCCCTGGGTATACTTTCAAAAATAGTCAGACATTCTTAGACTAGTCTTCTCAGATAAGGATGATAATCACAAGGCCCCATCTCTTGCATCCTCTCTGTACTGGTTAGAAGGGGATGTTAAAGAACCCACAAACTGAATGGGGCCAGCTGCCTAAATATTGCAAGTGAAGAAATAAATAAATTTTAAAGTAGGCTTTGTTAACACTGTCAAGTTTTGTTCATTCCACAGAAAATCAGAATCTTTACAGTATTATTTTAAGAGACCTTTTCAAAGAGAGACTTTAACTTCCAATCATATCCTTTGAAACAAATAACAACAGTCCATGTGAAAGTTTAGAGTTTGGCTTGTAAGAAATGAAAGTTTTCTGTAAAAATGATAGCTACCAGCTGTGCTTTACTTGCAAATGTTGTACTTTTTTATTCAAGGTAACTCATGTCTTGCGCATATATGAAATTTAAGTAGAGCGTATAATCCTCAAGCTTTTTGTTTGGAATATCCTTTCCCACATTCCGTTATATATACATATATATTTATTTTGGTCTTTTGATAGCTTTCTGCCAAACAGGCTCCTATCCTTAACCATGCCTACAGATTGTTTATGTGTTATTTGTGTCTAATTTCATCGGCATGACTTTCTCTCGGTCACTTCATTATCAATTTTATGTGTGGTATTTCCACACTCTTTTGTTCCTGTTGTGGAAGACAAATATGTGGATATCGGCCAGGTAAGAGATTCATTCTGTACACTGCTGATAAACCGCGGACCTTTGGTATTGAAAGACTTTTAAGAAACGTTATGAAAACTTCTACAAGAAAAAAAAATTCTCGCACTTGAGCTGAATTTAAAGGCATTGCAGAAAAGAAGCCAGAAAAAATTGAACGGGATTCAAACTTTAACTCACAGGTATTAATTGGGTGTCAGCACCAACTGAATTACGATGACACATTTTGGGAGCGAGGCAAATTTGAGTTGTTTCTTCGTTTCCGTTGAGGAATCTAATCAGAAAAGCATAAAACTCGTGAGAGCAAGAATGTAAAATGACATTTGTCATTACTAGATATTCAGGTTTACGAAACAGTAATATTAAGCAAAAACAAACTACAAACCTATTTGAGGGAACGTTATATGGCAGTTTCAAGTGAGTGACGAAGTACCAAAATGAGAGTAACCAAAACGGCCAATCAAGACAAACGATGATATCATCACTAGCCAATGAAAACTCAAGGGAAAACAAGCGAACCGCCAAAAGCGCGGGAAAGTGCGGATAGGCAAGTCACCGTTGGTTTTAGCTTGGCATGTGATTGGTTGAGAGAGTGGAGCAAGTTTTATTGATCTTCTTACTGTTCTTTTTTAGGCTCCTTATTCTTGGGGTCCTAGAACTGTGTTGGAATACGTACCCATCTACTGTGATAAGCTCCATATCCCTGCATATCTGTCACGCCGCACTTTTAGGGGCTCTATGGTACGCCGAGCCTCTGTTTACGGACAAAACAAGCTCTAGGCAAGAAGACAAGAAAGAGTGAATATTTCAAATGTTAGTAAAATCAAAAATAATCCAGTTTGTTGGTTTATGACAAGGAGTGATGATTCCTTCTTGCTCAAAGTATTTTAAAACAGAGATGCTTTAATATAATTCGTTTTGTAGCAGAACTGAATACAGATTTGATAGAGTATATATAACATGTCTACCAGATATCGGTTGTTTGACTTCTTTTGTGCATTTTAAGCAAACTAAAATTCTGCAAGGACATAGCGGCGAATATGGCTTCCACCTTTTTCATCTCGAGAGCGGACTTAACATGTTTCTCAGAAAACATTTCTAAAAACCAAGATTTGTTTCTCTCAAAAACAAAGTTCAAAATTTGATAGTTTATCTCTTCTAAAAGGAAAAGGAGAAGTTGCCTGGTATAAGTGAATCTGTTTGTAGAGAAGAAATAAACTGAGCTACTTCCGACGAAAAGACTGAAGAAATTCAGAAACACTATTTCAGTGCTGCACTCTACCTTTGTTTATCCCTCTCCTCCCCACCCTTTTTCCCCTACCCCTCCTCTCACCTTCCTCTGTCTAGAATGATGTGCTAAATTTCTTGAAACGCGTGACCTTTCCGCGGAATTTGGGCGTTTTCAGTTAAGTGACGAAGACTCATCAGCATGTTGTTAACCTCGTCGTACCCAGGCTCTTTTTCCTTTCTTTAAGGAAAAAGAGCCTGAGACGAAGTTGAAGGAAGGTTCGTTTCACGTCACGAGAACACGTATTTGACATGTGCTCAGCTGCTTTGTTGGCGCAAGGAACTTTCCAAACTGACTGATATCTTTCGGTTATACAGACTACAAAGTATGCTAGTCATTTTTTGGAAGTACATTTTAGAGTGACAGGTTGAAGAAGGCGAAAATCGCTTCGGAACCATATCAACGTTTAGTCAGTTCCAGTCAACTGTTAAACTCGATAATATGAAGAAACCATCAACAAAAATATTGCTATGACAGTTCAATGGCGCACTGTATGGCTTAATAAAACGATGACGATAAATTTTAGATTTTAAAAGCTGATAGTTTCGAAAGAAACTGTTTGGGGCTGCGTCGGTGGGAGTAACGGTCTTTCCTTACACTTAGCTAGCACGGAAAGCCGTAAAAATCTTGAACAAAAGCTCATCTTTCAAACCGGCAGTCTAAATCCCACAGGGATCAGCGAACGCTTTTCATTCCACTAATTTATTCTTGTTTTTCTCGTTGCCATGTTCCCACCAATAACGTAGCTCCATTTTCTTGCTTTAAAAGCACACAACCCACAATTCCTCTATTCGCTTCGACGAAGGGCTAACGCTCGAAACGTCAGCTTTTATAATCGTTACGGTGGCCAATTTACCATTTCAACTTTGTTGATATATATCCAAATTATTTAGTTTTAAGAGCTACTTTGCAGCTCGCAATTTCTGATGTGTAGCGAATAACCTAATCCGTAGTCCACATTTGCGGTTACTTGGGATCTTTCTATAAATCCAAGCTTAGCTCTCGAATTTTGTAGTCAGTCTGTAAATTCCGCTCTAATTGGAGCCAAAGTCATCAGAATTGGATAATTGAATATTCTTTGTTTGAAGTGGCAGTTGTATAAACTGGGTCAAGAAATGTCACTTGTTGATCAAATAAACTGTGCTATCTGTTTCAATTATTTTCCCAATTAAACGTTTAAGTTCCGGTAGCTTAGCAAAGTAATTGTTAAGGTTTTGTTCCTCAGGTGGCAATACCTAAACCTTGATGAAAGCGGAACATTTTTCGGCAAAATTCTAATAAAGAAGTGAGTAAATGACTTGGAACTTTTAGAAAAGTAAACGCAAACCCACTCCAAAGGGTCCTTTCTTTCGACCGCAGACAAATTTAGCTCTTGCATGTTTGAATTTCGAACATGTTACAGCTACCAAGCCAACACGTTTTTTTGTATTACGTCCGGTCATCGAGAAGTTCGGAGACGGTTTGGCACAACGGAGTTGCTTTTGGAGAGCAATTATCGGAGAAGCAGTTCAGACGTCGACAAGGGTAAGTTTGCAGGTCTAATAGTTCTAAATCYGCGTTCGACTTCTAGAAATACTCCTAAATGCAATGTACTGTGATGCATCTTGTGGAATCTGTGACGAAATTCAAAGGAAGCGCAGCATTTCTCGTTGAAACCTCTTGAGTTTAGAATTTTCAGTAACGTTGAAGAGTTGGGAAGTAAGATGAAAAGCAATGACAAGAAAAAAACTTTAAATTTTCTCCTTTGAGTTGATAGAGGGCTGTGCAAGTTGGCATAAACAGTATAAAAGTGAAACATTGTTTAGCGCAATTTTTTCAGTCCTTTCAGCCCAATGCGGTAGAACCGCACACACCATAGAAATTGAAGATCTAGTCCAACCACAACGAGAACCTCAAAAGCTTGGAATATTAGCTTATCTGACTCTCTATAAAATATTTCAAAATGATAGATCAGATTTGAAGTAAGCGAAAAGTTGTCGAACATTTTGGATAGCAACCTCTGGGTAACACGAGCCAAACTGAAGTAGCTTTGCACAATAACTACTGTCTTCAAAGATACTTCTTTTGACCAAGATTGCTAGTATCAAGACTTAGAAGCAATCTATCAATGTTGAAAATTCAAGAACAGACTGCGAAAATCATTTTCGTGTTCTGTCTAGGAGATGAAGGCAATCGAGAAATCAATCTTGTTCCCAGGCTTTCTCTGCTTCACACACAGTCGCATCGATCCTTACTGAGACTGTTACACGATCTCTACCACACGTTCTCTATTATGTTAAGTCTCAGAACGTGGTGTTGAATCTTATAAAATTCCTAAATGATATCTTTTCTTTATTCTCCTCACTTGTTTGCTTTATGTAGCATTGAAAAGTGTAAAGGGAAATTCGTTCTTGATCAGTTGGGAGTGTGATAAGGATAACGGATCGAGAAAAATGTAAATCTGATGATTTGAAAAGGAAGTAGAGACGCTCATTGAAAAGCCTCACAACTGACTGCCCTGTCCTTTTTCGTTGTTTGTTACTAAACTTAACTTAAATAGGACTGTTGTATCTCATAGTTTAGCTAAGAAACGACTATATTTCTTGCAGATGAAGATTATCGTATTGTTTGTGCTGGCGATTCTGTTGTGCAGCTGTTTGGAACCAGTCACAGCTCAACGGGGGAAGAAAAAGGTCCTGCGCATGTGCAGAAAAAAATTTAAGAATTGTTTGACAAATAAAAAGTACAAAAAGAACTTCAAAGCTGGATCAAAATGCTGTGGAAGGGCCTGGACGGTAAGTATTGTAAGGTTATAACTATCGATTTCATCTTGGAGAGGGGTGGATGAGTAGATGAGTATAATTATAACCCAACTACACTTCGTAGAGTACAAATAACGCCATAGACGAGCACAAATATCACGCGGTATTTGTACTCGAGAGTACCGGTTAAACAGGTTTTCTCGCATCTCGTTATTTGTATTTTGACTCACCCTACGGGCTCGTCAAAATACGACACAACCATATGCGTAAAAATACTCAGCGATACCACACAACAAAACGTCTAA